CAGCACCCCCAGCAGCAGCAGCAGCAGCAGCAGCAGGAGGTGAGGATAGAAGAGTGGCAGCAGCTGTACGCCCCGCTGGGCCCCGAGATGCTGTGGACTCCTTTGCCCGGCCGTCCCCGCTGCCCCAGCTGCGGGGGCTGCTGGGGGGGTTTGGGAATTAGCTGCGACGGGCAAGTGGTTAAGTTGCTGCCAGCTTTGCTGCTGCAGCAGCAGCAGCAGCAGCAGGCAGCGGCGAGCGCGCGGGACCCCCAGCTGCAGCAGCTCAAGGCGAAGGGCGCCGTCCTGCTGCAGCACCAGCGCCTCCAGGAGAAGCACAAGAGGTACGTGCTGCAGCAGCTGCAGCAGCAGCTGCAGCAGCAGCCGCAGCAGCAGCGCAGACACAGACAAAGACACAGACATCACAGCAGAGAACCCCCCAGGCCTTCCCCGCTGCTGGAGCCAGCCAGTGCACCGCCGCCGCTGCGCATTTCTGCTGAAGAGAAGGCAGCAGTGCCTGCAGCAGCAGTTGCTGCAGCAGCAGCAGCAGCAACAGCAGCAGCGGCAGCAGACGACTGCCTGCACCGCACCTGCGACTGCCCCGTCGGCCTCTACGCAGAAGCAGGGCGCTTCTGGCCTTCTGCTGCTGCTCGCTCGGCTGCCTCTGCTTCTGCTGCGGCTGCCGCAGAAGCAGCAGCAGCAGCAGCAAAAGCGCGAGAGGCTGGCTCCCAAAGCAGCTGGCAGGACGAAATCCACAAAGCTGCAGCAGCAGCAGCAGACGCCATCGAGTTTGCTGCTCAGGCGAGCTCGGGCGACCTCTGCAGCAGCCTGCCCTCCCGGCTGTCGATGGCTGCAGCTGCGGGCGGCGCCCGCAGCAGCAGCAGCAGCAGCAGCAGCAGCAGCGTGAGGTGGGGCATGGGCAGCGACCCGCAGAGCAACCTGGCCGAGGCGAACGCCATCGCGCTGCTGGCCATGGGCAACGCAGCAGCAGCAGCAGCACTTCTGGACAAAGACACTGCTGCTTTGCTGTCGCACTTGGTGTTGGTGCTGCAGCCCCCGCTGCTGCAGTCCCGCGCTTTGCTGCCGCTGCTGCAGCTGCTGAGCCATTTGCGGGATTTGTGGCTGTGCGACTTCATGCGTCCCGAGGAGGAGGGAGCAGCAGCAGCTTCTCCGGGGGTCTTCTCGCCCCCTTGGCAGCAGCAGCAGCAGCAGCAGCTGCTGCAGCAGCAGCAGCAGCGGCAGCAGCACACCCGACACTGGGACCCCCGCAGAGACCCCAGAGAAGGCATTGGCGGCCTCCGCTGTTTGCTGCAGCCGCTGCTGTCCAGAAGGGCCCGGCAGCTAATGGCAGTTCTCTTCCAAACTGCGCATTGCGGCCTCGTCAAAGAGACTTAGCTGCTGCTGCTGCTGCTGCTGCTGCGGCTGCTGCTGTTGGTGCTGCCGAAGCGGCTGCCGTTGCGGCGGCTGGCGAGTTAGAGGCGGCGGGCGCTGAGGCAGCGACGGGATTCGCAGCAGAGGCAGCTGCAGTAGATGCAACAGCTGCTGCAGCAGCAGCAGCAGCTGTACCCACTACTTGTCAGCAGATAGAGCTGTCCCAACGGAAGCGCTTAAGCCTTGCGCTGCTGCTATTGCTGCTGAGCAGCTAGCTAGCTAGCTAGCTCGATGCCTGGAAGCCTACCAGCTAGCTGGCTCGCTAGCCAGCCGCGCGGCTCGCTAGCTAGCTAGCTAGCCAGCTAGCTAGCCATGTAGCTAGCCACACAGCCAGCCATACAGCCAGCCATATAGCCTGCGGGCCATGTAGCCAGCCAGCTAGCTAGCCAGCTAGCCAGATAGCTAGCTAGCCAGATAGCCAGCCAGCTAGCCAGATAGCTAGCTAGCCAGGTAGCCAGCTAGCCAGCCAGCTAGCCAGCTAGCCAACCAGCTGGCCAGCCAAATGGCTAGCTAGCCAGCTGGCTCTACAGTTCGCCAGAAGTCGGTTTGCGGGCAAGCCAAGGCCGAGCGCGCAGCGCGTTTGAATGGGGTCAGCTGCCCAGCCAGCTAGCCAGCTAGCTAGCCAGCTAGCTAGTCAGCTAGCTAGCCAGCTAGCTAGCCAGCTAGCTAGCCAGCTAGCTAGCCAGCTAGCTAGCCGGCTGACCAGCTAGCTAACAAGCTAGGTAGCCAGCGAGCCAGCTAGCTAGCTGGGTAGCCGGCTGACTATTTATCTTGCTAGCTGGCCAGCTAGCTAGCTAGCTAGCTAGATAGATAGCACTGTGGGCCGCAGGCTAACTCCAGGTTTTATAGCTAGCTGCTGCGTCTCCTATTGGCTAGTTCGCCCACAGTTAGGAAAGTCCGTGGGATGATATGAAACGCCGCAAGCAGTCTTCGCAGGTCTGCTGCTGCTGCTGCTGCTGTTGCTGCTGACGTTTCTGCTGCTGGTGCTGTTATTAGCGTTGCTGCTGCTGCTGCTGGCCGAGGCACTCTGTTGCTGCTGCTGCTGTTGGACGAGGCACTGTGTTGCTGCTGCGGTTCTTCTGCTGCTGAAGTGTGAGGCCCTGAGGAATGGTGTTAATTGTTCTTAAAGACAGAAGCAGCAGCAGCAGCAAGAGCAACAGCAGCAGCCGCAATAGCGACTTCAGTACGAGCAGCAGCACATGCAGCGGCAGCAGTGACAGCAGCAGCAGGATAATACGCAGCAGCAGCGGAAGTGGCAGCAGCAGCGGCAGAAGCAGCTGCAGCAGAAGCAGCAAGAGGAGCTGCAGCAGCAGCACGTGCAGATGTAGGCACTTAGGAGGAGGCGACCGGCGATGCAGCTGAGAGCTGCTGCCGCTGCTGCTGCTGCTGCTGCTGCTCCTGGTGTAGCTTCTATTGCTGCTGATGCCTGCCTTAGTGTTTAGAACCTAAGCAGCAGCAGTGGCAGCAGCAACGGGGCCACTGGCAGTTGCAGCAGCAGGGAAGGCGGCAGCAGCAGCAGCAACAGTGGCAGCAGGACTCCCAGCCTCAGCAGCAGCAGCAGCACAGCGAGCTGCTGCCAGGCTCCAGCGCTGCAGCAAAAGGCAAAAGACACAGAAGCAGCAAACTCGAAGAAGAAGCAAAAGGAGCAGCAGCAAGAAGCACGGGAGACAAGAAAAGACAAAAAAGAAAAAAAAAGAAAAAGGAAAAAAAGAGAGGACTTTAGGATATAATTTGAAACAAAAATAAAATCAAAAAGAAATAAGAAAACAAAAAGACCCAAAGAGAGATTAAGGGGCCTTTGGGGCCAGTAGGCGGCAGTGCAGCAAACCTAAGCAGCAGCAACAGGAGCAGGAGCAGGAGCAGCAGCAGCAGCAGCGGCAGCAGCAGTTAAAGGAGCAGCAGCAGAAGCAATAGCAGCAGCAGGTGCAGCAGCAGCAGACAACAGATGCAGCGCAAAAGACGCCCCAGCCTCCCTTCACCCCCACCCTCGAGGGTTTAGGGTTTAGGACTTAGGGTTTGGGGTTTAGGAGCCGCTGGCAGCACTGGGAGCTGCGGTGCTGCTCCCTGGCGCCCACAGCAGCCAGTCAGCCCCTCTAAACCCTAAACCCCAAACCCTTAACCCTAAACCCTAAACCCTCTGGAGGTTAGGCGCTGTTTAAGAGGTAATGGAGCACTCCACGAAGCAACAGAGCCCACAAAGTTGCCCCTAGGGTCTAGGGTTTGGCGTCTAGGGTTTAGGGTTTACGTCCTCTAGGGTTTTGGGTTTACCCCAGCTAGGGTTTAGGGTTTTCGCCGTCTAGGGTTTAGGGTTTACGCCTCCTCACTGGCGCAACGCCAGCAGCAACCTAAGCCCTCCGGCTCTCGGCGCTGCTGCAGTTGGCAGAGAGGAAGCGCTAGGGTTTAGGGTTTAGGGTTTATGGTTTAGCTTTCGCTGCGCTAGGGTTTGCCTCCCACTTCCCCACAGACTCATAGACAGACCCCGACAGCAGCTACGGCACTGGCAACTCAGCAGCAGCAGCAGCAGCAACAGCAGCAGCAGCGGCGGCAGCAGCAGCAGCAGCAGTAGTTGAAGCTGCATTAACACAACGCAGCACACAGAAGGAAACCCACGCCCTATTAGAGTTCCTAGAATAGAGAATAGCCAGAGACGCAGTAGCAGCAGCCGCAGTAGCAGCAGCAGCAGCAGCAGCAACAGCAGCGGCAGCAGCAGCAGCCTGAACCAAAAGAACGTTAGTACATGTAAGACATCCTAATGAGCCGATGGTGATGTAGCAGCGGCAACCGCCACGATAACAGCAGCAGCAGCAGCGGCAGCAGCAGAGGCAGCAGCAGCAGCAGCAGCAATGTCTGGTGCGCAGCCACCGAGACACACCAGCGGCAGCACACCGCAGACCCTGAACTCGTGCTGCTGCAGCAATAAAACAAATTGAAATTGGGTTTATAAAGGCAGGAGGGACCTTTAAGAAGTAGTTGGGGGCCTTGCTGCTGCTGCTGCTGCTGCTGCTGCACAGAGCAGCAGCAGCACCAGTTGCTGCTCCTGTTGCGGCTTGGCAACACGGGTGGGTGCCGCTGCTCCTGCTGCTGCAGCTGCTGCTCGTTCTTTATTGCCGTCGTTCCTTCGATATACACATCTTTTTATCTTTGCTGCCTCATTTGTTTGGTGTTTCTTGCAGCAGCAAGAGGGTTGCTGCAGCAGCAGCGCCCGTTGCTGCTCGTGCTGCTGCCGCTTGTGCCGCCCCAGCGGGAGCTCGTACTGCGCGGGAGCAGCAGCAGCAGCAGCAGCAGCAGCAGGCGCAGCAGCATCTACATTCCCCTTGTCTATTCTTCTCCTTTTGCTGCAACAGCTGCTTTGCTTGGAAACCGATGAGGACGAGCAGCAGATTGATTGTTGCTGCTGCTTCTCGGGTGTGCGGTCGTGCTGCTGCTGCCTGTGCTGCTGCTGCTGCTGCTGCTGCACGGGTCTGTGTACGCAGGGGTCACAGGCGGCTCAGCAGCTCCTGCTGCCTTCCCTAACAAGTTATTTCGGGTTAATAATTAGCAGCAGTGCAGGAGCGCGGGTTGCTGCTGCTGCAGCGCAGCAGCAGCAGCAGCATTGAGGGCGGGAACGGGAAACGCTGCGGCGTGCACGGGATAGAGAGCGTAGGGGGGTGAGTGGAGCAGCAGCAGCAGCAGCAGCAGCAGCAACTCGTTTTTGCGAACTGGCTGCTGCTGGCCTTGAGTTTAAAGCTTAGAGGAGCTGCAGCAGAAGGGAGGCGTTGCTGCTGCGGTGTGCCCACGTACACCTCAGGCGGCCGCGTCGAACTGCTGCAGCGCCTGCTGCTGCTGCAGCAGCAGCAGCAACTGCTGCTGCTGCAGCAACTGCTGCCGCTGCTGCTGCTGCTGCCCTTGAAATGCACCCGCAGCAGCCCCTACCCACACACCCAGCAGACACTGCCCAGGGGCCCGCAGCAAAATGAGTGCAGCAGCAAATGGGGTGGCGGCTGTGGGGCCCCCCCCGGAGGCCCTTGACCGCAGCAGCAGCAGCAGCAACAGCAGCAGCAGCTGCTGCAGCAGGGACTGTTTCGCAGAGGCCCCACCCACAGAGCCCGCCTTCATCTCCTCTTTAGCCACAGTGCTCGAGCACCTGGTCTCCTCAGCAGCAAACAGTAAGTGCAGCAGCAGCAGCAGCAGCAGCAACAGCAGCAGCAACAGCAGCAAAGTGCGTGTGTGCAGCACAGTCCGAGTCATTTAGCCCTAGGCCCTTAAAGGTTTTGCTGCTGCTATTCGTCTCCTTATTTGTCTGCGGCTCTTCTCTTTTTGCGTCTCTGCTGCTGCTGCTGCTGCTGCCTCTTTGTTGCTGCTGGCTATTTTTGTCTCTACTATTTATCTCTCTGTGTCTCCCTTTTTTATTTCTTTTTAATTTCTTTTGGTTTATTTTATGTTTCTTTTAATTTATTTTATGTTTCTTTTAGTATATTTTATATTCCTTTTTATTTCTTTTTGTTTCCTTTTATTTCTTTTTTACTTCCTTTTACTTCCTTTTATTTCTTTTTATTTCTTTTATTTTATTTGTTTTCTTCCCGCCATCTCGCTGCCAATTTATTCCTTTGCTGCAGCGGCAGCAAACGAGTGAATTTGCAACAACAGCAGCAGCAGCAGCAAAAAAGAGTGTTGCTGCAGCAGCACTTTTTTTGCTGCTGCTGCTGCTGCTGGTACGTCCTCAGTTTACTAAATTTATTTTCTTCTCTTTTATGAATTTTTGTTTAAATCTATATTTCTTCTATTTACT